ACATGCAGTGTGAGAGTGCATGAATGTATTATAACGTGCGGTGTAAAAATGCACATATAAATTATGATGTGCGGTATGAGAGTACATATATGTATTATGATGTACGGTGTGAGAGTGTACGTATGTATTATAACGTGAGATATAGAAGTGCACATATATGTTATAATACGGGATATAAAAATTTATAAATTTATTATGTTTCATGCATGTGCGTATAAGCATTTCGAATTATTTTAACATAAAATTTTATATCCTTATTATGCACATATTATGTTATATGGTTATGCTTACTAAAGAAATTATAAAATGAGATGTTTACTATTAAATATCTTATGCTCATGATTTTGAAGTGTTGTACATATGATATCATGCATGCCAATATGAATAAAATTATAAAGACTTATACATAAAATAAGGATGCTAGTACCTCACGTAAGTGATATGATAGGAAAGTGAGCATGTGCAAGCCTATGCTAGCATAGATATAAACGATAACTTATGGATATTTTGTGTATAAAAAATTTAGACATGTTATATTTATGTTTTTTTTTGTTAGATATTATAATCATGTGTAAGTGTGAAAATCACTTTGTATAGGAAACCCTATCATTTTGTTAAGTATATTAATATATTTTAATTTTAAGATTATCTTTTTTTCGTTGTACTCGTATCGATAATAAAAATGCGACTTCCTATTTTAATTATGCTATGAATGTAGAATATGAGTAGAACTAAGAACGATATGTTACAAATATGGATGATGTTGTTCCATTTAGCTTGATTAGGAATTGGCTTCACCCTAAAAATAAATAAATAAAGTATTATTTATCTATTTTTATTTTAATTTATTGCATATTTCAGTCAAATCACATTTATGAATCATGTTTTTTATTCAAAATAGACAGATGATTGAATTGAAAAAATAAAACTAAAATGGAAGATTCTAAGTGATTTTTTTATGTCTTTTCAAAGCAGGGTAGATTCCACCGATGGCAGTAGTCTAAATCAGGTAAGCTTACTGTGGTTGGACCCATCATGATGGACAAACATCGATCTCTGCCCTTCCATTTTGTGCAATGCCATAAATAAATAAATAAATAAATATAGAGGATAAAATTTAAAACAAATCCATTTTATTTTTTTTTGCCTATTATTTATATTACCCCGGTCACCATTTTTTTTTCCTTTTCCTATGACCCATTCCATATAGTAAACTGGTCCAGTATTATTATATTATATTATAATACTTTTAGTAATACAAAAAAAATACTGCAACATGGTAAAAAATTATTTTGTTATTATATTATAATATTATTTTGCTATTACTGAAAATACCATAAGATAATATAAGACCACTATAAACACAATGTTTTTACAAAATTTACAAAAATATACTATGTTTTTGTATTGCTGAAAATACTATAACATAATAGTGTAATAATATTTAATCGGATTGATCAATCTATAAGAAAAGAAAAAGAAAGGAAGAAAAAAAAGGATAAATAGCTAATTGTCAAGTCATGAATATTATAGTTATTAGGGAAAAAAAAGAAGATGAATGTTATAAGAAAATTATCTCCGGAAAACACTTAAAAAGAAATATTTCTTTCACACATATATTATTATTATTATTATTATTATTATTATTATTATTATTATTATTATTATCATCAGCTCGGCCGCGTATCTTTGGATCGTTGTGCAGGAAACAAAGAATGATTCTCCCACTACAATATCTCGTCGATCCAAAGCCCTCGACAATCTAAGCTTCCGTGGATTAGATTCAGCAAATGTTCCCGAGTGATCCTGTATCCGTAGTTGTCGCCGTCCTCGGCGGCCTGTTCCTCCTCCGTGCCGGGCTATCCTTCAAGTGCCTGCTCTACCTCCTCGGGCGGTGGTGGTCGTGGTTGGACGAGCACACGCATGCTTATCAGCACTTCGAGATCCCGCGATACACCGAGAGCGGGCTGGAGAACCCCCTCATTCGCCACGCCACCGCCTATGTCGCTTCCCTTTCCTCCCATGAGTGCGCTGTCGCTATCGTCTCATCTGGCTACGAGCCCAATGAGTTCTCTGTCCACCCCGCCCCCGGTCACCCTGTGCCCGACTCCTTTCTCGGCTGCCGCCTCTCCTGGTCTGCCACTGGTGGAGGGGACCGCCTCGTCCTTCGCCTCCGTCGCCAGGACTGCTCACGCGTCCTACGCCCCTACCTCCAGCACGTCGAGTCCGTGGCCAAGAACCTCGAGCTCCGTCGGCGCGAGACCAATCTCTTCGTCATCTCCAGAGGGGGCGGGGAAAGTGGAGAGCCGAGGTGGAGGCCGGTGGCGCCTTTCACACATCCGGCGAGGCTCGATACGGTGGCGATGGACCCGGAGGTCAAGGCCTGGGTGCGTGCCGACCTCGAGGCGTTCCTCAACGGGCGGGCCTACTACCACCGCGTCGGCCGCAACTGGCGGCGGAGCTACCTCCTCCACGGCCCCCCGGGGACGGGGAAGACCTCCTTCGCCGCCGCCATTGCCAACTTCCTCTGCTACGACGTCTACGACCTCGACCTGGCCCTCGTCTCCGACGGCATAGACCTGAAGGCCCTCCTCCTCGCCACGGGCACCCGGTCGGTGATCCTCGTCGAGGACCTCGACCTCTACCTCAGCGCAAAGGGAGGCCACGAAGGCAACTCGAGGCACGCCAGGATGCTGAACTTCATGGACGGCATCTTATCGTGCTGCGGCGACGAGAAGGTGATGGTGTACACAATGACCAGCATAGAAGCGGTGGCCACGGCGGTGCTGCGGGAGGGTCGGCTCGACGTCCACATCCACTTCCCGATGTGTGACTTCCAAGCATTCAAGACGCTGGCGAGAATCTACCTGCGGCTGAACGACCACAAGCTGTATCCGATGGTGGAGGAGGTGTTCCAGAGCGGCGCAAAGATGAGCCCGGCGAAGGTCGGCGAGATCATGATCGCGAACAGGGGGTCACCGAAGCGGGCGCTGAAGTTGGTGATCACGGAGCTGCAACATTTGTCGTCGGCGCCGAACTTGGGACAACAACTGCTTGAGCGGAAGGACCGCGGCGGCGATGGGCCGGTGGCAGAGGACGACCCACCGACCGTGAGGGAGATCGGAAGATGGTGTGGGGTAATCAGGACAAGGAGTAGGCGGCTTTGTTGACGCCGGTGAAGCTGGCGGCCGCCTCAGATTGGACGTCGGATAAGTTGGATCCCATCGAAGACTTACTGATCTTTGGGTCGTTTAGCTCAGATCAGAACACTCGCCCGTTTGTTCTTACTATATATTCATCCAATAATAATTGATTGATTTTTTTTTTTCTCTCAGGAACTATAGATGACAAATGATTTGATCTCAGGGTGTTGCTACAAGGAGAATATTTTATGTATTTATTTATCAGATTTTAAACTCAATCCTGTGATTTAAGCCTAACATATGTTTACTTTCAGAACAAAAAACTTGGATACAATGAACATCCATAGTTAATTATCATTAGACTATGAACTAAAATTCCAAATGATATTACTATGTTTAAAATAATCATATATAATTTTAATTCAGAGCTGTTGTACATAGCTGTGATTAACCTGTAATTTGTCATGTATGTTGTGGGAAGGAGAGGGAGAATGTTTTGTTTTATTATGATTGTTGATATGTTATGACTAGAATATGTTGTGGTGCATCTGTGATCATATGTTCCATTCACAGGTAACATCATCATCATATGTTCCATTCCATGCAAAAGGGCATGTGCTGCTACTGGTGAGAGTCAGAGGAACTTGGAATCAAATCCTAGGTTTTATGACATGATTAAGCATTCTACAAGGCAAATTAAACTTTAATAAGCAGTCATTTAGAAGTTAAAGTAGGATTATGAGTTCTAACAAAATTAAGTTTACATATGAATGACTTATGATGATGAAAGCTGGAAAATAGATTGGATTTTTTTGTTTTTGGTAAAGGATAAATGACAAAGATGAAAAAAATTGATAGACTGTTAATCATAATTCTTCTCTCAACCTCTCTCATTGGCATGTTACAAAATCATAAATCATACTATAGATAAACAGCATGTCTCATCCTAATTTATTAGAAATCTGGGTTATATGACTCTCAAAACCAACTTATCCTCAATTTGTTTAATAATTAATAGAAATTTTTAGTTAATACCTCTTATGATTTCTCTTTTGTTGTCTTAAATTACTATGATTTTTTGAGGTTACAATTTTCCAAACCTATTGAAGAACAAATTCAGTTCTAGTGGCTAGCAAAAAGTAGATCAAATCCTAGAAAACCCATTGAAGCTACTTTTACTCTCTGTTTTGACTGAAGCCATCAACTCTTCAGCTTCTCCTCCTGCAGAAGAAGTCATTGAGGTATGACATCAGAGGTTTACTTATTAATGGTTAGGCTTTAGAGAGAGAAATGTTCATGGTCATGGGGTGTTCCACTTTGAACCATGCAGTAGTTGTTAAACCATTCATTAATGGTTAGTCTAATGCATGTTTTGGTTCCAAGTGGAACACCCCATAAACATCTCTCTCTCTCTCTCTCTCTCTCTCTCTCTCTCTATAGAGTCTAAGCATTAATATGTAAACCTCTGATTTCTTACCTAAATGACTCCTCATCAGGACAAGAAGAAGGGTTGCCAAAACCTGTTAAACCCTGGTTTTACAAACTGATGACCCTGTTGTTTTCTTTTCCATCTCAATTAATTATGGTGGCAAGCATTCTCTTTCATGCATCAATCATCATCCAAATCATCAACTGGGAGCACTGAAAAAAACTGAGGGCCTACATGAATCTATGAAATAAATATACACCTTGAATAAGAACCTAACATAGCTGATTGAAGGTCTGGTGGGATAACATTCAATATAACAGTGAAGACACAGATTGGTTTTTAGGTTGTTGTTTAGCTGCAAGGTGCATATGAAGACAGCTTAATGGTGATCAAAGAGTACAACCACCACTGTTCACGTACACTAGAGGATTCTGAAGTCATGTGTGAGCACTGCAGGAAGCAAATGAGACAAGCATGCATGCAAAAGATGCTGAGGGTTTAGACATGAAGGAGAGTGAACTGACAAGGAGAACAGAGGCTGGCACTTTACCTAGGAATCTCATCACTGAAAGCGTGGGATTTCTAAGGACACACTGTTCTGTGGCAAACTCTGTGTTGTTGTTGCCCATCACCACCACTCTTGCTTTCTTCCCTCATCAGTCGCACTCTTCTCCTTTCTTTTGCAGGATTCTAATCACATGCAGAGGCGTGACTGCTGCAAGTAATGATAGTGTCTTCTTTTCTCCCAGAGTTGGGTGGTGAAAGCTCCACCTTTAAGAAGTACTGTTCTCAGTAGTTTATGCATTATCCTATCAGTGTCTCATTTAGTTGGAGTGTTTGAGGTTGTTTGTATCATCTTGGAAGCTTTTGTGGTACTCTCAACAGGTTTGAGTGACTTGTGGAATAATCTGTTTCTTCTCATTAGGTATTTCTAATATAATATGGTTAAAGAAGACTCAATTGGAAGATATCAGCATCAAGATGGCAAAGATGATGGGATTTCTATTGCTGTAGAACTTATGAAAGATGATAAGAATTTTAACCAAATCTTCTCTTGGAACCTATTTAAGATCCAATGTAAAATGAAACATCCTTATTTTTGCAGCCTAATATTTTTGAATACAGATATATTGGTATAATTCTAAATGATATCATGTGTTTTTGTATAAAAACTCTAACCTTAAGATACCAAGCAAGAGAATCAAGCAGCAATGTGAACATCAACCTGAAGAAAGATAATACACAAAATTTATATGATTCAACACCCCTTGCATATACCCACAGATTAATAATTAAATCTTTAACTATTGTGAACAAATATAGTATAAAAAGATAAACACCTTTTAGTTAACTTAAACCCCAAGTTCAAATTTCCTTAAACACATTGTCACGCAAAGCTCAAGAATTATCCATCAACTTCTTTAAATCTACCATAATACATTAGGCTTGAATCTATTAGTCAAGGTTTTAGATCCCTAATCTGATCAACCTTCCATAAGAACTGGATAATGAGAGTACAAGTACTAACAACACCATTGTGTCAGTCTCACTCCTGTGAATAACCACCAAGATAAAAGAAAGAAAAAGAACTATGTTTAAATCCGACCAAGAGATAAGCTTGGTTTCTGTCCAAAGATTGGGAAACCTGTGTCAATCCAATAGTCAGATGATTGGGGATTGCTCAGTTTGACCAATACTCATCAACATCAATGTTATGAAACAGCATCAAGTTTAGCTCTGGTCTAGACCTTGAAATGAGGTAGAATTAGGCAAGCAAATGTCCTAGATTTACATGATAATAACACATATGTAGATCTATTATGTGAAGGCTCCATAAGAAATTAAGTCAGCCTCAGCTAATAGTATGCCGAGGCTGAAACTACACAAGTACATGATACAACACTAAGTTTGCCTGCTCATCTTATTGTGAATTATTTTTCTTTTCATCCACATCTAGTTCTTCATTTTGTTTTCTAGGGATTCCCCACTCCTTGACCTCATCTCTCAGTCCATGTGAAGATGGTAATCCCATATGTCTCTTGCTTCTTTCCTGAACCAGTTGTAAATTAAAACCAAGAATTCAACACTATAGAAACACTAAAATATGCAGCTTTTCTTTCCTATGCAAAAAAAGAAACGTAGCTTGAAACACATAAATTACCTTCTTGGCAGATTGCTGGTGACTCTTAGATTCAGTCTCTCTTTTTCTTATCAAGGAATGTAGTCTTTGTGCTTCATCAAAAAAATGGATGCCTTTGATATCTCCATTTCTAATACTCACCTCCAGCTGACAATTAGAAAAAGGTTTGGAGATCAAGGAAAATCTTGTAAGCTATAATCACATAAGCTCTCAAACTGACCTGAATGTGAAGAATGCAAACAAGTATACTAGCAATAGGCAACCAGCTTTCTTCAGGTGAAAGTGACAAATTAGTCCTGTAAAATTACATCAGACAATTGATGAGGAGATATACTTTGTGACTAAAATGTTGCACATGAAAAGACACTTTAGCACCTTGAACATGGGGCTCTGACTATATTTAAGAACATGAGACAGAGAAGTATAAACTTGCTCCTTAATTTATTTATACAGATATTGATGCAGCCATGCTAGTCGTCAAATTAAAATGTCAAATGTTAATGGAAATTGCACAGTATAGATTTTAGACTTCATCCACATAATAGACTCATTAAACAAACACATACTGCTTTTGGATATATCCACTGCAAAAAAAAACATATTTTGCAACAAACAAGGTGTTCAAATTATGATTTACCAATACGCACTATGTTCTATACTATATGCTGTTTACAAACGTTTTACTTTGACAATTTTACACTATTATTTTTCAAGTTTTGGAAGATTTTGTATAGGAAGTTTATGGGCTATGTATTGATCTCAACGGTTGTGTGGGCCAATAACATTGCTCCTTTCTAATACAAGAGAGCTCAAGGTTTGAGTATAGGAAATAGCCATTCTAAATTTATATGTAAGGCTACAAGCATTGATCCTTCCAAATCCCACATTGGTGAGAACCTGGTGTACTTAGTTTGCCCCTTTAATTGACTATTAGTATCATGCAAATGATACACTAATATTACGAAAAGATGAGCCACTTACTAAAAAATTCAATTAGATAGTATCAAGAAAGTCGCTTCCTTTATAGAGGAGAAATTGGCATCATTTCGAATTCTATCTGGGCAAAAGCAATTCAAAAAAACATGCCAAGAGATTGTTTGGAATTGAAGTTCACCAATAAGTAATGCAAATGCATACATAGTGCTAATCTTATGCTGCCAATGGTTAGCACTTATTTTGTTTTGCTTCTTAATTGAAACCTACACTATATACCAAGTATATAAATTTAGAGATCTTAATCTCTACATGGTGTATGAATCATTGCGATGATTACCCAGGCATAACCATTTTCTCAAAAATTAATTATTGCTTAACAATCGATGAGAGAAAAAAAAGTTAATTAATAATATAGCTTTCTTCCTTACATGTGCAATTAAGAATTTAACCATCAAGAAGAACAACCACAACTGGTCTACTATCAATTAGTTATACATAATTGATCTCTCCAACACAAAGATAAACTTAAAGAGGAAGCTATAGTGACAGCTTAATACAAACGAGAAAATTCAAAACTATGAAGAAATTATAAAGGAGCATGAGAGGGTTGAAAAGATAACATGATAAAGCAAATAAGCACCATCACGAAGCTCGTTCTAGAAAGGTTTACTATTTTTTCCTTCATAATGACTGTTTCTTACAATATTGTATGACATGAGATCAGTGTCCTCTGCCCTAAGACCTAGCAGATGTT